AGTTACTACCATATACGACGATGAATGATATAAGTTAACACACAAATACTACCATATATAAACAAGTTATTACTAGTACACGTTTAACTTTGTTTGAGCTTTTATATTGTTAGGATGCCAATTATCCATTACAAAGGTTGACACCCACAGAGGCTGAGCTTGCCACTGATTGGTGGCAAGCTAGTAAGCGATTTTTTGATGGGACAGATGATTAGCACCCCCTACTTCGAGAGCCATCACTAGATCGGGCCGATTTTACTACTCAACACCCGGAAACATCACCTGATCGAGCTTCTTATCCACCTCCACCATCACTTATTCCATCACATTATCGAGCCTCTTCTCCACCATCACCTCATGATAGGCGACCGGCAAAGAGGTCACGACATTTATCTCCCTATTCTCCACCTCCACGGGATGAGTTAGGGGGGTTACGTGATGAGGTCGGTGCTTTGCGTCATAAGGTCGGTACTTTACGTGAAGATAATGGTGCGCTACGTGATGAGGTACGATCTTTACGTGGTGAGGTGGATGTTTTAGTCGATGACAATGGTGCGCTACGTGGTGAGGTATCTACTTTACATGATGAGGTAGCCGCTCTACGTGAGATTTTTTCATCGTTGCATAATGAGGTTCATACTCTACGCAATGAGGTAAATTTGTTTAATACTATACTAAAAATGCAAATAACTTTTTTTCGGCATTATTTATTTATTTATTTATTTAATATTTATGTATTAATTTATTTTCAGCGGCCCGATAAGGTAGATGCTTTACGTCGGGTTTTTCTTGCACGACGGGGTTCACGCATCAGACGTCGTGCATGTGCCATTACGTCTCCTTTCACCCCACTAGTGCCAAGACTCCGTAAGAAGAAGCCCGATGCACCTGTCATCGTTCAAGAAGCGTCTCCTATCATTCAGGAGGCCCCTTTCATCGTTCAAGAGGTCCCTCCCATCGTTCAAGATGTCCCTCCCACCGTTCAAGAGGCCCCTGTCATCGTTCAAGAGGTCCCTCCCACCGTTCAAGAGCCCGATTCACATGGCGTCATATGTCGACATATTAATAAACCCCATCCCGTGCCCGATATGATGGATGCGAGTTGGCTTTCGTATGTGTTACCGGCCAGTACCATTCCTCAGCAGGATAGGGGAATACTACCGGACACAATTATGGATAATACCCTTTGGGCTAAGACCGAAGTTGATTTTTATATACATGAGCGGAGCAAGGGGTGTTATTATGACATATGCAAACTCGACGATGTTATTCATTTGTTTCTTGATCGGTCTTAGTGGGGTATTTTTTTAGGGGTTGAAGATAATGAATATCTCGAAGGGGTGGTAAGTCTTATATTATTCTTATATTGCATTTTGATTATTATTTTTTTAAATTTAATAATAAATTCACTAATATATGTATTTTTTTTTATAAAACAACATATTGATGTGTGGTGTCACGTCTTCTAATAATAAGGAAATTGAAAAAAAATAAAAAAATACTCGATGGACTATTATGCTGACATCTTTTCACGTAGCTCACTTGAAGGATCCGAGAGATGCTTCATATATGTTGGGTAATGAAAAAGCTAAACTTTATTCTGTGTGGTGGAAGGTCGATAAGGTTAGTATTTGTTTTTTGAATATTTTAAAGGTGTTTATCCCTGTTTTGGAACGTCTTTTATTTGATATGCGCAATTATTTATGATTGCAGGTGTTTATCTCTGTTTTAGAACATCGTCATTGGCTTCTCATCGAGATTCAGCTCCCATCCCTGAAGACAATAGTATATGACAGCATGTTAAATTACATATCATTGTCTGATTTGAGGGATATATTATTTGTAAGGGATGGAGCGCTCATTTGGCGAAATACTTGAATGCAATTGATTATTGGACTAATTTTGGAAACAATAAGCCAAAAAAGTTCAAAGTTACAATGATCATAGACGAGACCGAGCCACAACAAACGGAGGGAGCCAGAGGGGATTGTGGTCCTCTCGTATGCATGTGCTTGGAACGTTTGACGACAGGAAGTAAACAGTTTCTACCTCCCACAGATAGAGATAGAGGTGCAGTAGGCTTGTGGTTTCGGCATTTTATGGCTAGAGCGATATATGCGAGACGTTGCCTACCTGCATTCCGCGTGCTGAAAGTGTGCATAAACAATTGATAAGTTTGAGCAAATGTTGTTAACATATATACTCTTTGTTGGTTTGAAAATATTTGGTTAAGTACCTAGAGTTCAATAATTTGTTGTTTGTTGGTTTTAGATGTGTAGAAAGTGTTGTTTGAGCAAATGTTTGGTTTCTACAAGTTAATCCTGAAGTGAGCTACGTGAAATTGATGTATTTTTGCATAAACAACTGTCTGGGGTACACTTTTTTTGCTTGTTTAATTGAATTTTACATTGATTTGTAAAAATTGATTTGTTTAATTGATGAGGAAATAATAATAATTTTTTGTTTGTTTAATTGATTTGTAAAAGTTGATTTGTTTAACTGATGTGTAAATTAAAATTATTTTTTGATTGTTTAATTGATTTGTAAAAGTTGATTTGTTGTTTATTTAATCTGCATTATGTTGAAGGCAAAAAAGACCTGTTGAATGTACACTTTCGCAACGCGAAAGTCAAATTCGCGTTGAGATAGTCAAATTCGCAACGCGAAAGTCAAATTCGTGCTATGATTTTCGGTTTGCAATTTCGCGTTTCGAATTTGACTTTCGCAACGCGATAATCGCGTTGCGAATTTGACTTTCGCATCAATCGCAACGTGAATTTGACTTTCGCGTTGCGAATTTAAGGAAAACACCTTCAAAAAATAACAGACAACAATCTGATAAGTAAGAACAACTGAACAGATCATAGCAATGTTCAAACTCAAGTTACTAATGAATGTCTAACTGAAAATGTATGCATTCACACATAAAATACACATGATACAACGTTTGCATTTAAAAATCACCTAAGTTAATAAGTCCCAAAAGGTGAAGCCGGTTGTGATTGGGATTTTGATTTTGATTTACTTTTGCTTGACACCATATGAGCTTTGGATTTTGATGAGGATCCATATTTTGGTAGAGGAAAAAATGATTGTGATGACACTGGTGATCCACATGTCAACCTTGTATGACCACTTTCCTTGCACCAACTACATGTCGATATCCTCTTCTCTTCACCCTTAGACGGTATACGATCGTGATTTTTTGGTCGGCCAGGTAGCCTGTTGTCCATGACTGGTGGCAAAACTGTTTGTAAGTCATCTGGTATGTCCCACTCAGAAGGATGTGGAATATGGTAGACAATCTCGGCATAAGTCTGTCGATATACTTTTGTAGTGTTGCAATCCATAGCGTATGCGCTTGAATCATCTTGGTTTAGATGAAGAGCAACTTTTAAAACATGGTCACACGGATAACCAGATGTTTGGCATTTTATACAACTACACGTCTTTGCATTTAGATCGACAAGCCCATTTAAGTTATTATCCAACACTTCAAACAAAGTGTTTGAACATGGTTCAACTCTCCATGACGTTGACTTCACAACATGTTTCGTTATCTTTTTTTAGCCCATGGTGTAACACGACGTTTCAATGTTCCTGTAAATTTAAATAAATAATACTTAGTAAAATATATAATAAGTTACGAATTTAAAGAAATAATACATGCATGGTTTCTTTTCTTGTAGTACCACTATTGAATAGAGGCTCGAAAAAACTCCATTAACATAGTAATGAGTAATTTCCGAGAATGACGACTTAGAGCGTAATTGATTCTGCACTATTAGACGTCATTAAACCATATATTGCTCCAAGTTGATGTACTCTTGACCATCTTTCAAACCCGACATCTTCTAGTATTTGAGCACATTGAGACAAAACACGTCTTAAACAATTTATATGCTTATTAAAATCCACTTCCCGATAAGCTTTTACAGCCTTCTAGTATGTCCATTTGTGATTTTTTATACTAACAGACATTGATTTTAGATTTCTGTACAAATAAACACCACAAAGTTCATGAAAAGCATCTAGGAAACACCTTCTAACAGCGTTGTCAATTGAGTTTGCCTTATCGGATATGATTGTCAGATTGCTAATAGGACCTATGCAATCCCTAAGATGCCCCATAAACCATGTCCATGAATAAGAGGTTTCAGATTTGTCAACCCCGTAAGCTATTGACAGTATCCCATTGTTAGCATCCATGGTTACTGCTAATAAGTTTACTCCAAGGTATTGACCTTTCAAATGTGCTCCATCAACTATAATAACTGGGCGCATGCAAGTAATAAACGAACGAATCTACAAAATAATATACACAATACATATAATCATTTAAATGTGAAATGCATGTAATTAACAAAAATGAGTCAACAAAATTATATTGATTTACTAACCGCAGCACCAATGACGATAAACAACAACTCAAAGTGTCCATCTCTATCTGTTTTGATATGAGTTACCGACCTAGGATTTTTCAGCTTTAAATTGTGACAATGAGCAGGCAGTTGGGCAAACGATGTTTCTGGAGACCCACTCAACAATTCCATGGCATAACATTTAGCTCTCTAAGCTTGAGAATATGAGATACTAATCTTGAACCGAACATTCATGTCATTCATAATTTCATGTCCCCGATATACTCTGTCATTCAAAAACATTAACTCAGCCAGAAAACCACCCAACACTTTTTTGTTTGTCTGTCTATGGTGAGGAAAAACTTGAGTTCTTGAACATGTATGTTTATCAATAAAAGTCATAACTTGAAACATTTCACAATCTTTTATCCTCTTTACAATCATATGCCATGTACAGTTTTTGTCAATAATACATTTTGTTTCGAAACAATCTTTGCTTGATTTGTTAACTTTTAGTTGATAGCCATCTTCCACACATTTCGTATACAAAGCTATCTTCAAGTCTTTCTTTGTATCAAAACAATCATATTTCTTGATACGAATAACTTTTGTGTAACAATCAACTTCTATCTTTACCAACTATTCTTCCGGTGTCTGAAGTAATTCCGGCATATTTCAGTTATACTCCTGTGACATTTTCTTTTTTTCTTTTCTTCGGGGACTTCTTCTTTTTCTTCTTCAGGATTATATGAATTACATAATGGATGTTCAACATGTTCATTCACAGTCGTAACTTCCTCCTCATTATTATCAATAACATCTTCCTCGGCAACGGCTATTTCATCATAAAAATTCGGGTATTGACAAATATCAAAATCATTACACGCAGGGTTTGTTTTTTCTTCTGAAACATCATCAAAATCCAAGTATTGACCAAGATCAAATTTCGAATACTGACTAGTACTCAATTTTTGGATGGCTTATAATCATCTAACTGGTCAATACGAAAACCGAAATTTGATGTTTAAAGTTGATTGGGATTTGGGTTAGGTAAAGGTTGTGGGTTTTGAGATTGTGTTTGATATTGTGTTTAGTATTGGAAATGTGGTGAAACAAAAGTTTATTGGTGATGAAATTGTGGTGGAATCATTAAATTTTGAGGTTGATAACAACGTTGTACATTGTGAGCACCATAAACTGGGGTTGAAAAACTTAGTTGATTACTACCCGCTACTGACTCAATTTCACTACTTCTAGGTTTAACAACATACAATGTAACATCATCTTCTTGCGAAACACTAATGTAAGCCAGAAAAATTATATTGTGAAAAAAGAAAATTAATAATTGTACGTCACATGTCTCAAGCAAGAGATTAGTAAGATCGCATAGGATTCCATTCGTATATTGATGAGCATGATACCTGCATGAGACATGGAATCGTTATATAGTCTTTTTCTTTCTTTTCCTTCTTTTAATTCAGTATAATCTTGTACTTTACACTACTTGGAACTTTTTTTGTAGGTGAAACTTGAGTAATTATAATAAAGATGACAAAGTTTAGGTGCAACCTAAATTTTAAACCATGCAAAGTCTCACCTTTGTGACAGATCGTTCGAACGAGGATCTTTTAATGTGGAGACGTCGGAGAGATTCTGGTTGAAAGAAGCACTGGCCTCTTTATCATATACACCCAAGACAAATTCCTGAACCACCTATAATTCCAAAATCATAGAAAATGTACATAACAGGTTGAGTATCCATAACAGGTTCTGCTGATTGAGCATGTTTGTTATATTTTGTGCAATTCATTTCAGCAAGTAATGATATTCCACATCACTGAAAGAACTCTCACTCTAATGAAAAAGCACAAGTCTAATGTAAATATGAGGACCTTAAATTCAATAAAAAAATCTACCTTATCATCTTCCACATGTACTTGTTGCAATTGCTTTTGATAGCAAAATTCATAAGACCACCAACCTTCTTGCTGCACAAAACATAGCTACATTATCAATTCAATATAGGGGACACCAAACAAACAGTGTGTGTAGTAACCATGTGCTCACTCTGATAAAGCATCGATCTTTCAGTACTTCCAGCAGTTCATCAGGCGACTTTAGTTTAACCCGTTTTTCGGACTCCACAATCATGCTACTAGTGTTCTGCAGATTAACAGACTTTAGGGTCTTCGCTTTCTCCACCATAGGCAAGAAACATAAAAAATCCTTTCCATCTTTATTCGGCATAGCAACGGACTCCTGATCATCATCATCCTGCAAAATGTTCCAGGCATTGTAATATTGGATCATCAAAAATGGCAAGTCCAGATGGAAATTGATAGTTTCAGAATTCAAATCAAAGGAAAAGCAGCCTACTAAAGCTATATGCACATGGAGAATTATGACAAGATTAAGACACCACAAGATTTTCCTTGTTCTTATACCATTATAACCATCTTTCTTAGAAACAGTACCAAGTTCCAATCCTCTAGTTGTTCGAACACAACCTCTCCAGTTTCTATACAAATTTTCTCAAGCATTCAAACGTATAAAATGAATCATTATGCTGAAGTGTTTTGCTAGATAAAAAGTATACTAGTTTATTTGAACTCCAGCTCACACTAAGGTGTACATGTAAAACATTTTCACCATTTATAAATTTTACTCGCTGAAGGAAATTTGCAGTGGTGAAAAAAAAAAGTCTAATGTTATCCAACATCTGTTAAAAATTGTGTTTCGCATCTATTACCAACTGGTTTTTCATTAAAAGTTCATCAAACCCAGGATTGAAAAGCAAAAAGTGTTTAAATTCTACTCTTACTTACGGGATGGTAGGGAAGCCTTCAGAATGGATTTCAATATTGTATTTTGGTTCACGGGCGCTCCGGCCAAGTGTGTCGTCTGTTTATCAGTAAAGAGTTAGAAAAGCATAACAAAGAAGGAGAACCAATAATGCAAACCCTTTTTTTTTAAAGAAAAATGTACTAGACACAGCTAATAAATCAGTTGCAATATAGTAATATGGAAAACCTGTGTATGATAACATCACATACAAAGACTGATTTGGTTGCAACAATTAATAGCTCTTTTTAATGACGCTTGGGGTAAGTGAAGACCAAGCATTCTGGTTTTTTCTCTTCCGCTTTTTTTTTCAGTCTCTGGTTTACTTGGTTTCAAGTTCACCCTTCTATATTTACAATAGCCTTTCATTGAGCCACATATACAAAGCCACAAGAACATAAGCCAATTATCTGCAGTTCACCATGCATGTCAGCTATGATCCATAATATCCAATTTTTCAAATAATCAGCTCTTAGCATAACTCTGCTCACATCCAATTTAACCTTTGATTTGTATAAAATTATACTTTGCCCCACTCGAGCTGATATTTTGACTTCTCCCCTACTTATTCGTAACTCTATTAAAAAACATTTGCAAAAAATAGTTGCCCTCATTTGATTACAACACTTGATTGAATCAAATACCAAAACCACAAAGACTCCATTTCTTATCATTGACGGCCGATGGATATAGAACTAATTAGGAATATATCGAGAAGGCTGGCGGGACGGTCCCCAAAATTTCAAATTCTCGTATAATTTATGTATTTTCTTGAATTTTCTATCTACAATCTATTTTCGCCACTATAGTTTTACAAGTTCAGCCTCCTAGCATAAAATATTGCGTCCCCTGAAACTAATGAAGCTCCTTCCGTCTTTGGTGCTAATTTCACCACTCAAGCAGTAATTAACAATAAACAAGTAACATATCTTATAATCCAGGAAATATTCATAAATCTAAAAAGAACAAAACCATTGGTAATAGATATTTTAAGTTCCATCATAAGGTCTCATGAGCTCAACACTTCTCTGTTTCACACATGAAAGCAATAATCAAAGAGAATCAAAGAAAAACCGTAACTAAAAAAAATAATTAGATTAATTACATAAAAAAAGGAAAGAATATATATGAAGTATGGGCTTACCCACTTGAGACGGGAAAATCTGATCAGCTAAGACATTGCTGGCAGTATGTATATAATTGCTACAAAACTAAGAAACAATCTCATATTTGGTTCTTCTTTCTGAAGAAATGTTTTGTGCCTGCAAAGGAGAAGATGTAGCCACAGCCGATGAAGATGACTCAAGTCTACGCAGATTGAGCAATGGAATCACGCCACGTCACGTAAAGGTTTGACGGTGACTGAGATGGGCTTCGTGTTCTTTTGTCCACTATCACTAACAGGGCGGACCATAAAGGCCCTGATTTCGGAATTATTTAGTTTTTTTAAAAAAAAGGAGTTTAAAAATATTTTTTTTACAAAAAATATTATTTTTTTTGAAAAATATTATTAAAGTTTCAAGTATTAAAAATTTAGTTAGACCTCTAATTTCTTTTGAAAAATATTAAATCTATCAAAATTTCTAAAAGCTTTTATTTAGACTTTTAATTTTTTTAAATAAGTAGATTATTTAAATTATGGTATCAAAATTTATTACTGACAATTAATTCAACGGTCTAATCTAATTATTTAATCGAAAGATTTTCAATCATTTAGGGTGAATATATGATAATATTTGTTCGAAATACTAACAATCATTTGACAATGAATACTTATGCACCCCTGCAAACATGTACTTGAACTCAATACCTCAAACGATAACAACAATTCATTAATCATTAAGATTGTTTAGTTCGTATAATATATATATGCTTAAATATTATAACAATAACTTCTTTTTAATAGCCTAGGTGATTATAATGTATTATTTGTTCGTAATCTTTTTTAATTATCGATTACGTACACACATTTTATAAATATTTAATCCAAGAATTCAAGAGAGAATATATTAATGTATTTTGTAAAATGATCATAAATTAGAACGGTTGGGAAAGAAAGTGGTTTTGGGATTTAAGAAAGTAAAAAGTGAATGTCACGTTTGTGTGGGAATCTTTCTTCCAACTTTTCCGACAAAACCAAGAGGAAAAAGGAACTGAGTTTCCAATAACACACGTCTTACCGTTTACAAACTTTAAAGATTCAATTAAAATTTTATTATTTTAAGAATCTTTGTTGTAATTTGTTAATAGAAATAAATTAATTTGTTCGACCTTGACAGTTCATCGCTTCTAATTTAAATAAAGAATTACGATTAGTCGAGGATCAATCGATGGTCGATAATGTTTTGTGAGAATGATGGTGGGAAGGTCGTTAATGTAGGCGAAGAACAAGAAAAAAAATCCCTTCTTCTTGGCCAATGAAATTTATAATGACTGAGTATAATGATATTTGATATAAGAACTACCATGACTACTTGTAGATTGATAAGTTATATATATATCTGATTAGGTGATCAAATTTTAGATTTTGACCTAATAGATTGATATGACTGGTTAGAAATGAATTTTTTCATATACTATAGTTGATTTGAGAGCTTGCATCCGGATAGTATGAAATTATAAGAAACTTTGGTAAGTAAAAATATTTATTTAAAAATTCTAAAAATTTGAGAATCGATAGTTTTCGAAGATAACTTACGGAAATATAACATAAATCTTTGAAATATTTTCATATCGCTTTGACGTGAATATCTTTTGAGTTGTTTTGATCAATCTTTCAACTTTCCGTTATAAAATACATTTTGGATTTTGAACTAACACATGATGAGTTAGACAAAGGTATGCATATCCGAAGATAATTTTATACTCGTTAATTTTATAAATTAAATTTGTTTATATTAAATGAGTATAATTAAAATTAGAATTTATAATTATGAGGAGCATAACTTAAGGAAGCTGAGAAAGGTGTTGTAATGAGGAATGAAGGTGGTAGTAGTCAAAACAAATCTCTTCCTTTGCCATTTTATCAAAGACAAGAAACATGGAAGGAATTCCTTGGAAAATGGGATTAAAGTCGAGCTGAAGTTCTAAAAAACACACACACAAAACAAAAATCTAATAAGAACAAATTTCATCTGTTTTCTTTTCTTCCCTACTCTCCCTGCAACACACACATATTCCATTTTCTCGTTAAAAAAATTATCTTTTTGAATTTTCCAGGAAAATTCCTACACCTCGAATTCATTTCCCCAGATAAGTCTTCTGCCTTCAAGTTTCCTCCTTTAGTTTTGGTTGTGCATGAGAGGTCTTCCCTTTTTAGCTGATGTTGAGAGCTTGAGGATTGTTTTGTTTCTCTCTGAACTGGGATTTCTTAGTATTTTCTCTTTTGTATTTTCCATTTTGGTAATCTGGGTTTTAATGGTTTTAGGTGCCTAAGAGGCTAAGATCTTTTTGTTTCATATATGGTGTATCTGAACTGGTTTTTGAATCTTTCTTCATAGTGAAAGTTGTCAAAAGTTAGTATTTTAAGGTCTTTTGGGAATTAATTTCATCCTTGGTGGGAGGTTGCTTCTGGGGTTGAACTTGTTAACTTGTATATCAAGTTATTTCAACATCAGGGGTAGTGATTTCTTCTTCTTGTTTCATTTGATTAGTTTGTGTTGGTTTCTAGTTCGAGTCAAGTTATTTTCTTTTTTGTTGGGTTTGCAATGGGGAAGCATGGTGGAATGAACAAGAAGCAAAAACAAAGTCGAAAACAATCGTTCGAAATCGTATGATTCCGACACGGCGGTTTTCATTGCCATGTGTCAAGAACTGAAGGAAGAGGGGAACAGACTGTTTCTGAAAAGGGACCTTGAAGGAGCAATGATGATATATGAGAAGGCCCTCAAATTACTTCCTAAGAATCACATAGATGTACGCCGTCTTAGGACCAATATTGCTGCATGTTACATGCAGATGGGGTTGAGTGAGTACCCCAAGGCAATCCATGAGTGTAATTTGGCCCTCGAGGTAATACCGAAGTATAGTAAAGCATTCGTAAAGCGATCGAGGTGTTACGAGTCTCTGAATAAGCTGGATTTAGCTTTCAGAGATGTTAATGCAGTTCTTAACATGGAGCATAGTAATACCATGGCATTAGAGATTTCAGAAAGGGTAAGAAGTTCACTTGAGAAACAAGGTGTACCGGTTGAGTTACATCTTGAATCCGTTGAGCCTCATAGTGGCTTCCAAAGTTACGAAAGTTGTCAAAGACAAAATGAAGAAGAAGATCAGCGAGATTGAAGAATGCGTTGAACCGCCAAGTGCTTTGCAGACTTCAAAAGTTGTCAAAGAGAAAACCAAGAAGAAGAACAACAAGAAGATCAGTGAAGCTCTAGATAACAAGGTTGTGGACCAAATTGAGGTGAAGGTTGACGAAAACGTAGAAGATAAGAAGGCCGAGGATAAATATGTTGAACGACTAAGTGCATCACAAATTTCGAAAGTTGTCAAAGAGAAGAAGATCAGCGAAGCTCAAGATGACAAGGTTGTGGATCGAATCGAGGTGAAGAAGGTTGATGAAAATGTAGAGGAAAAGAAGGCTGAGGATAAATGTGTTGAACCACCAAGTGCATCACAAACTTCGAAAGTTGTCAAAGAGAAAACCAAAAAGATCAGTGAAGCTCAAGATGACAAGGTTGTGGATCGAATTGAGGAGAAGAAGGTTGATGAAAATGTAGAGGAAAAGAAGGCCGAGGATAAAAAAGTTGTTGAGGAGAAAATCAGCAGTAAAATGGAAGTACCAAAGAAGAGTGTGAAGTTGATTTTGGGTGAAGATATAAGATGGGCTCAGTTGCCACTTAATTGCGGCCTTGTGCAACTAAGGGAAGTATTTCACGATCAATTTCCTAGCTCGAGAGCTGTTCTTGTCAAATACAGAGATGAAGAAGGTGATTTAGTCACAATCACCAGTGATGAAGAGTTGAGATTGGCTGAAATAGCAACAGAATCACGGGGTTCTGTGAGGCTGTATGTTGTACAAGTCGATTCCAAACAGGATCCATTCTTCGAGAGATAACCGCAATGGAGTTCACAATGTTGAGATTAAACGAGGTGAGGCTGCTAAAAATGGTGATGCTAGAAAGGTTATGGAAAATAGAAAAGACTCGTGTTGCATCGATGACTGGATAATTGAGTTTGCTAAACTATTCAAGAACAATGTTGGGTTTGATTTAGATGCATACTTGAATCTTCATGATCTTGGAATAAAGCAATATTATGAGGCCATGGAGGATACAATCATGCCCGTTTTTGAGATTTTGGTGGTCCTGGACGAACTAAAAAGTTAGGCCCTAATAAAATATTTAAATTATAATTTGTATTTTTTTCTTCGATCGTGTTATGTATATCATTATTGTGAACATAACAAATAATATTGTAATCGCTGCAAGTATTGTAGTTATGGATTTTTAATAACATATATTATTATGTACATAACGATTGTTTATATTACAGTTTTGGACGATGTCTGCATAACAATTATTGTTGAGGTTACATATCATTATTTAAGTAATTGTTCATAATAATAAGTGTTAAAAAATAATTTTTAATGGTAGCTTCATAATAGTAAGTATTGGAAAAAATGACTCCCTAATAAAAAATATTAAAAAAATTAAAATTTAAAAGTATGTTCATAATAACAAATATTAAAAATATTGACCCTCCAATAAAAAATACTAAAATATTAAATTCATAACAAAAAATAAATATTAGAAAAAAATTGAATTTTAAAAGTGTGTCCATAATAACAAATATTGAAAAAATTGGACTGATAATAAGTATTGAAAAAAATTGGGTCTTTAATAACAAATGTTAGAAAAAATATTGGCAAAAAATTAAACACTTATACAAATATTATAAAAATAAATTTTAAAAATAGGCCCTAATAATAAATATTAATAAATAAGCCCAAAATAATAAATATTAAAAAAAGTAAAACCATAATAACAAATATTTCAAATAATTGAGGCCCTATAATACATTATAACAATTCTGGGCCCCGTCTGGCATGAATGTTTGGAGCCTGCAATTGAGAAATTTGAGCATGCTGGAGTTTCTCCAACAGATATAACTGTTATGGTAAAAAACAATTGTTCGAATAACATCGCACCGGAAGGTAATATAGTTAGAAATTCATTACTTTGTATCATCAGCTAACATCTGCATAAACCTTAAGATCATATCTTTTGTCAATTGCAGGCTTAGGGTTTAAGAATGACGAGATAATACGGGCATGGAATGAGATGTATGAAGCTAAAAAGTGGAAGAATGACTAGAACCATTACTTAGACGACGAGTTTCGAAAATTTATCATGCATTGGAGCATGCATAAGTTGCATGTTGTTTTTGAGTGGCATTTTCCAGGATACCAGTTGGTCAAAAGACATATCTAACTTCGTATTATTTGAACTGAGATTTGCAGTACTGCATTATAGTTTGGTAAGTTGATTCTTTCTTAAAAACAAGAATGACAAAATCTGCGGCAATACAAATCATGCACTTGGAATTTTCACTTTAAATATATTTTCTAAAAGTATAATGTCAAAAACTGCCTTTAATTAGATATTCATTTTAATTTCTTTTCTTTTTCAAGTATTTTGACCCTATGTTTTATTTTAAAGTGAAAAACTCTTAAAGATTAACTAAATACTCACTTTAATCTTTATTCATTTTTTAAACATTTTCACCCTTTACATTTCATTTTAAAACAAAAATCTTATTTGTAGTGTTATCATTTATGCCTCAAAATGAAACGTATTTTATCAATTGCATGTTTATTCACCTCACTTACCAAATTCTCAGAATATTGTATTCAATTATTTCCATGAATAACATAGGATCATCCCTTGTGCAGGGTCTTTTTTTCTGCTATTGTCTTCTACATCAAACATCAACCTGAAAGTTGTGTGATTCCCTTTTTCTTCTTCTTCAAGAAATTGGTTATCAATACATGTTTGGGTATGACTTGAAGCAGGCAGCAGCAGCAGGAATCTCATGTTTTTTTTCTGTTGGTTTCTGCTCTGACCTTCATCAGTTTCCCCCAACCTCAAAGAAGTATAAAATACATGCTGGATTCATTATTGAATTGCAGTTATTTATAATATGTTTGCCAGATTGAATCGCCAAGTTTCTTTTGAGTTTACAAACTTGGCAGTTTTATTAAGAACTTTTAGAAGACAGTTGTGCATTAGGTTGATGATGATTCTAGTTTTTCTTGTATTACAAAAGCAGCTTTTCATGTCTCAACACACGCTTACTTAGTAGTTGAGAAAAGCTAACCCCATCCGAGCGCAGCTATCTACAATTACAGCATACGTTGCAGTTTTCCTCCCCAGGCTTTTATTCCGGTCGAAAGGTGACGAGGCTGGGGAGGGCAGTTGACTGAAGCTTCTTGATTTCAGCGGCTGTTACCTGGCACGACTCCAAAGATAGTGATCGTAAATTCTTCAGAGGCTTTAAATAAGGCAAACCGTCATTAGTTATGTTGGAGTTCGAAACATTTAACGACACCAATGCAGTCAATTCTGCATTCAAAACAAAACGCAAGATCCATCATTAGAAGAGCTCAGTGATTTCATCAGGGAACACAGCAAACGACTAGAATATTTTCATATTCGAGTAGCCACTAATAGCAGTATCAGCTCTCAACTAATCAATTTTCAGACCTGCCATTCATCCTATATACTTTAGGCATATTTAGTTATTTACAAGCCAGCTTGTCGTAAAGCGCTAGACTGCAATGAAAATGCTACAAATTACTGATCCTCTTCCAGAATGCCGAGTGAGTGTGGGACTATTGGCAGATGAGATAATCAGATAATAGAGACACAACTCTCTTTGTATACACACATCTCGTATCGGTTTCCATATGTTTGTTCTAGAAACGTGGTGAAGAAGAACAACACCAAACAACGCCACAAAATCCAGAGAAGAAGAAGCAAAAAATACCTGAAATCAACTCCAAGGATTTGTTTGTCAGGTTGCCGTTTTGTGAAAGGTTCAGTAGCGTTAAGGAGCGGAGATCTTTGATATTTTTAACACCAGAATCAGTTAAACCCCCTCCGCATATTTCAAACGATTGGAGGTTCTTGAAGCCTGTTTTAGCATGTAAATGGCAGGTGTAAGAATATTTGAACACATTAGAACTGTTAGAAAAGTCTACAATGAAATTGAGAGATCATAAGAACTCTATACCATTGTAGATATACACCTGACACCTCAATACATTAACTAACAGAACTTATATTTCTTAGTTACCAGTAAACTCTCTCGATTATATATGTATATCCAAATTATATTCAATCCTCATGAGCCAATGAGCAAAACAGAACAATCAAGTTTTCCAAGTAAGCAAAATAAGAACATCTAGGAAACAATAGGTTAACGGAAACAATGATCATGCAACTTTCCAGCCATGGCTATACTTGTGACATACATCGTAAATAATTTGTTCCACCGTCTGAAATTCTAGCCCCAAAGAGATCTAGATGCACCAGTCCAGCCAAACCTGCATCGGCAAAGTACAAATGAAAAGTGAGGATTTATATGCATCCTTAAATCATTCCACGATGGGAAGAGAGCAATATGTAGAGATTGAGATCAACAATTTTTAGCCACTTTGACTTGGCTTTGGAAAAATAAATCAACTCAATAAGTCATCTTTGTGCAGCAATAATTGGTATGATATTCTTAATGAATCACATAAAGATACAACTTCCTAACTGGTGAATAACACTACTAAATTGGTTTCCATATAATAGCACAACTATACAACCAGAGCCATAGATGAAATGGAAATATTCCACTATGCGATTTTAGTTTCGCGTTGCGATTTTCATTTTCGCGTTGCGAATTTAAGTTTCAGAAACTACTCTTATTCTGCAAATTGAAACTTGAATGAATTGCATTACTTCAACCAAAAAACAAAGACAAATACTAACTTCACAGTGTTGCTAATTTAAGTTTCAAGAATAAACTACTACTCTTTATGTTGTCCTTGAACCTGCAGTAAACCTATATGTTGTCCTTTTATGTTTATATAAGTGTTTACTTCTGGAATGTTATCTGATGCATTTTGTGAACTATGATGGAATAATGACTTAGGTGAATACCGTGCTAGTTTGAAACATATTTGGCTTTGTTTTCACTGTTTAATATCATGTATGTTTATAGTGTATAATTTGTAGTTTTTGGTATATCTAACTTGGTATGTTTATTGTTTTTGTAGAATTTTTTTTCGGCTCAATTGACCTTAAGGAATAAATATAACCTAGCCACTAAAATTGTGTCGACGCTTACACCTCTACAAAGAAAACTATTTGAGGATACTTGCTTCGGGCCATGGCTGAAAGTACAACATCCGGGTGGAGATGTTATGTTGACACATTTGTTTCTTCAGACCATGACTAACGATCTACCCGAGAAGATACAACGTGGTGATGAAGAGATATGGTTTCATTTTCCTCCGGCGTATACTTGTTTTGGGTGGGAGGAGTTTTGCTTAATCATTGGTCTACGCTTCGGACACGATGAAATAACCCGGTACACTAGTCATATCTCCCGCCCATCATGGTTATCTCGGGTTTTTCCTGATCTGGCAAAGTCGAAGCCGAGTTTACACGTCGACGACTTGAAGAGATTATTTGTTAAAGATGGTTTTACTCGGATGGATGACCTTGATGTTGTCCGAGTATGCCATTTATTACTTTTGCATGCCGACTTTTTAGGCAAAAAGGGCAGACAACCTATTTATGATGACCTAATATTATTGGTAGAGGACCTAAATGCATGAAACATGTTTCTGTAGGGTTCATATCTGTGGAAAGCTACCTGGAAGAAGTTGTCGTCTGCCTTTGAGGACCGAAAAAGTTTGTGGGGCGATGGTTCTAAATACACTTTGGAAGGCTTTATTTGGGCCTTTAAGGTTAGAATTTCTATATAATGTTTCTAAATTTATAATTAATTATTTAACAATTACTGATGTTTGTGTATTATATTGTTTGTAGATTTGGATATTTGAGGCTTTTCCCAGCATGCGGACATATGCGATAAAAAATTCAAATGATATTCCTAGGGCTATTACCTGGAAGAGGATCCGCATGTTGGATTGGGAAGAGTTACTACCATATACGACGATGAATGATGTAAGTTAACACACAAATACTATCATTTAGTTAAACAAGTTATTACTAGTACACGTTTAACTTTGTTTGAGCTTTTATATTGTTAGGAGGCCAACTATCCATTACAGAGGCTGACACCCACAGAGGCTGAGCTTGCCACTGATTAGTGGCAAGCTAATAAGCGGTTTTTTGATGGGAAGGATGATGAGCACCCCCCACTTCGAGAGCCATCACCTGATTTGGGCCGATTCTACAGCTCGACACCTGGAGCCATCACCTGATCGAGCCTCTTATCCACCTCCACCATCACCTATTCCATCACATCATCGAGCCTCTTCTCCACCATCACCTCATGATAGGTGACCGGCAAAGAGGCCACGGCATTTATCTCCCTGTTCTCCACCTCTACGGGATGAGTTATGTGATGAGGTTGATGCTTTACGTCATGAGGTCGATACTTCACGTGAAGACAATGGTGCATGGCGTGATGAGGTAAGGTCTTTACGTGGTGAGGTGGATGTTTTACGCGATGACAATGGTGCACTACGTAATGAGGTATCTACTTTACGTGATGAGGTAGCCGCTCTACGTGAGATTGTTTCATCATTGCAAAATGAGGTTCATACTCTACGCAATGAGGTAAATTTGTTTAATACTATACTAAAAATGCAAATAACGTTTTTTTGGCATTATTTATTTATTTATTTACTGATTTATGTATTAATTTATTTTCAGCAGCCCGATAAGGTAGATGATTTACGTCGGGTTTTTCTTGCACGACGGGGTTCACGCATCAGACGTCGTACACGTGCCATTACGTCTCCTTTCACCCCACTAGTGCCAAGATTCCGTAAGAAGAAGCCTGATTCATCTGTCATCGTTCAAGAGGCTCATTTCATCGTTCAAGAGGCCCCTCCCACCGTTCAAGAGGCCCCTGTCATCGTTCAATGGGTTCCTCCTACCGTTCAATGGGTCCCTCCTACCGTTCAAGAGCCTGATTCACAACACGTCATTTGTCGACATATTGATAAACCCCCTCTCGTGTCTGATATGATGGATGCGTGTTGGCTTTCGTATGAATTATCGGCCAGTACCATTCCTCAGGAGAAGAGGGAAACACTACCAGACACAATTACGGATAATACCCTTTGGGCTAAGACCGTGTAGACACCAATTTTCTTGAAAGATAGAACTAGCAAGAGTTCATCTCCTAAGAGGACTCTTCCACTACCATATCTTTTAAAGCAACAACCACACCAACAAAGGTGCAACAACCGAGCAAGGAGTCTAGTTGCATTAGGATTCTATTGTTAGTTAGTTTTTTTCACTATAAATACATGTAATCCTTCCCATTTGTAAGACACGATTATCATATGGGATTACGCACACACAAAAAAAATACCCTAAGCAAATACGCACGAAGCCCCAAAGATTCGCTTGTAATTTTCAACAGAGGAATAAAAGAGGTATTTTTACCTATATTGCTTCGATTCTCGCTTGCATGTGGCTTGTTTCACTTCTTCTTTTCCGTTTTTACTTTGAAAAGGCCGATGAACACAAGGGAACCGAGATATTTTCTCTTAGATCTACGCTTCCCCGAGGCTTATTTTGAAAAACTGGTTTGATTTTTGGTTGAAGGAGGGGAAGAGCTTTTTAAAAATCTATATTAGTCCATTTATTTATTATATGAATATTTTATTCATTTATTTTTATTATTCATGTTATTATTATTATACATATATATATATATATTAAATTATTTTTATTTTATTTTTTACTATATTTTATTATTATATATATATATATATATATGTGTTTCTTTAATATTTTACTTATAAGTCTATTATTACTATATATATTGTAATTATCTTTATCTAGTTATATATTTTTTTATACTTTTAATAGTTTATTTACATACCTATTATTAATATATATATTCTTAATTATTTTTATTTGATTATTTCTTTATTTACATAATATATCTTATAACTTTATATATATATTATTTTATTATTATTTTCATTTTTTATTCATTATTATATATTTTTTTTAAAATCTTGTGTCTTTATCATTATTATTATTAAACATTATATTATATATTACTAACCTAGAAGACTTATTGTTTTGTTTTATTTCTAACTAAAGTCTCTCCCACTTTCTTCTTTTTGTCTTATTTCTGACTAACGCCCCCCACTTTCGGTGAAGTGAGAGAGTAACTTTTCTATTTTTAAATATTTGTTGTATATATATATAGCTTATTTATTTTATTAATACTTTGATGTATATATATTTTCATTTTTTAAATATTACTATATATAATTATTACTTTACTTTTTTTTCCTTATCTTATCTTATTTATTTATTTATTTATTTTATTTTTTCCCTTTTATTTTATTCCTTTATCTTATTTGTTTTTTTACCTTGTTTATCTAACACATTTCTCGATTTTTTAAGGATATTTTCAAATCAATCTAAGGTAAGTAATTGAGATCGTATTTTTACCTTTTAATTTTAACTTATAATTTTATTAATTTAAGTCAACTGAAAATTACATAGTACTGAAAGGGCAGTTCAAGGGTGCTAACCTTTCCTTGACTGTAACCGACTCCCGAATCCGACATATCTTTGGTAAGACGCAAATCAGGTAAGAAATAAGGTATTCGATCTACCTATTTATCTTAAAATAAAAGATCGGTGGCGACTCCAATCCATATTTTCCTAAGTCAAAGCCCAATTCTGGGGCCCAACCGAAAGACGTTACGACAGCTTGGCGACTCCGCTGGGGACATAGGTAAGTGAGTCAGGCTAAGGTAATTTCCAGTTGTCTTTTTAACGAAAAGGGTAAGTTTAAATTTTAAGGTGACATCTCGATCCTTTTACTTACTTTTGATTATATTTTCGAGTAAATAGTTGTACTAATCGTTTTCTCACGATTTGAGCCTTCAAATCTTTTTTCACTTAAGGCTCTATACTCGAGCTCCAAACCCTGTTTTAAGTGAGGGTAAAAGCGACGCATTCGTGTGAATTTATTCGCCGCATATGCCTAGCAAGTAGCCTTCGGGATTCATATACCTTATGTCTTCGTGTGAATTTATTCTCCGTATAGACATAAGGGAATGTGTCCCCTCGAGTTTAACTTAGTCCACACAAGCCTGTGATGGGACTAAGGGCCTGGTAAGCCCAAGGGGGCACCGGCGAGGAGAACTCGGGTATCATTTTTTAGAACCTAAACCGAGAGATTGTAGAGAATTAGAGCCTACCCTGAAACCACATTCCAAGACCTAGGATATTTTCACCCTAACCATGTTTCTTTTTTTCATTCCCTTTCGTCATTTTATATTTATTTATTTTTTATTTTACTAACTTTTTGCATGTGTTTGTTTTTAGCATTTACATCATAACACGAGGCCATTGATCCTTAAAAAG